ATTGGGACTACTGAGACATCCAGCCTTGTAGACTGAGTGACTACAGATTCTCAGCCTCTCCAGTGTGGTGCAGCCATTGTTGGAGTACTCGGACTCTATCCTGTGAGCTAAGCTGATAATTCTCTATACATATATATTCAATCTACTGCTTCTGTTTCTTTGGACTAATACAAAGTGGAAGAAACCAATTCTTTGTACCTTAAATAAGACTACACCATAAAATTTTAGGTATAAAAATGGTAAAAACGTGTTGGGCTAGAGACCTAGTAGTTGTTCACTCTGAGTAAGGCAGATTGCTATACCCCTGTTCAGCATGATATCTCAGCACTCTCTTGTGATCTTGGCTAATTTTGTTTTCTTGCTATAGAGACACCTTCCTGGCTACTCTTAGCGCAAGTGCAATTATCCTTTGAACTCACAAACTCCCTTCTTCTGGCTTCCTGATCATTCTTTTCTGGTGATTATCACATATGATCACACATAGTGTATGCACTTAGAGTGAAACTTTTAGTAACATTTCTGGAACTTCCATTTAGTTATATTCATGTTTCGTTTTTATTGTTCTAAATAGCATTTCTTGGACTCTTTTACATCTTTAGTATCTGTATTTGATAGTTTCAATATCTGAAGTCCTGATGTGGTGGTGGTGTATTTGTTCTTTCCTGACCTACAGTTATGTTGCTTTCCTTGTCAATGCTGATCTCTTACTGTGAATTTGCATTTACTTGATCTTCATGTGTGGGAATGTTGAGAGCCTGAATTGGAGATGTTATTTCTCCAGAATGGACTTATGTATGTTACTGCTAGGAACCAGGGGTTGCTACTAACCTGGGACCGCTTTATTCTTCTTTGGTTGTGCTAGCACTGAAAGTTTCAGTTAAATGATATGAAAAAATACAGCACCAGTTTAAATTCCAGTGCATCCATTTCCATAATGGGGGAGTAACTAACTCACAGATTAGTCCTATTCTTCAGTCAGGACATTTGCTGTCGAGCACTGTTTCCAGAGCTAACCAAATTTTGTTTTGTTTTAACAGGCAGAGAATCTATATACGAGGCAGTAGGGCAAATGTAGTGTTAAGATCTCTGGCTCTGGCATGAGTCAACTCTTCTGGGTTCTAATCTAGGCTCTGCCACCTGCCTGCTGTGGCATCTGGGCAAGTTTTTTAAATTTCACAAAACTTGAATTCCATGACTAAATTCCATATATATATATATGAATAAAAACAGTGCTAGCCAGTTACATTGTCCACTTGTTATATTACCATAATTTTGTGGTGCTCCCTTTGGGAGGCAGAGGCAGATCGATCTCTGTGAGATCAAGGCCAGACTGGTTTACATAGAGAGTTCTAGGCCAGCCCTTGTCTCAAAAAAAAAAAAAAAAAAAAAAAAAAAAAAAAAAAAGTAATAGTAATAATTACAGTGCTCATTTCTTATGATTCCTGTAGAGAGTGAATAGGGTAACAAACAAAAAAGTACTGAGTGAGCTAGGAATATAGCTTTGTGGTATAGTACTTGCCTAACATGCATGCGGCCCTAGATTCAGTCCCCACTGGCCCCCCCACCAAAAAAAATGGGCATGGCACAGAATGAGTACTTACTTATATCTACTGCCTGCCTTCCTGTTTTTTAACATTCATTTATAATTTTGTGTGCATGGTGCTTCTGTGCACACATGACACAATGCATGTGGAGGTCAGAGGACAGCTTGAGAGCCCTCACTTTCTACCATATGTGTCCCAAGGATCAAACTCAGGCTTTGCGGCAAACACCTCTGCCTACCAAGCTATCTCACTGGCCTTTTTATTAAGACACGTTCACACACTGTAACTCAGCCTGTCCTAGTACTCATTATGTATTCCAGGCTAGCCTCAAACTTGTAGCAACTCTTCTGCCTCATCCTGAATGCTAGGGTGACAGACATGAGCCACTATGCCTGGATTCCGTCATTATTAGATATATGAAGCTTCGTAAGTTTTGATGGCTTGCACATTATTTCTCATTGACTTCTCTGTTTTTAGTATCTTGGTATTTTCAGTTAACTTGGGCAGTTCTTTTATTGTACTGAAGTCTCGGTTCTTACCTCTTGAAACCATGCACTGTTCCATATGATAAACTAAGGTATAATACTGCATTGCACCTTGCAGTGCTGTTGGCTATTTATGTGAAGTTTAGGTTTTATTTTATCCATATTCATTAACATTTTGAAGTAGAATCATTTTGGATAACAAATTGAACTAAATTTTAGAATATGAAAACACCATAGTTTTATAGATTTCCCTTCCTAACTATACAGGTAATGCATTTGTATTTGGGAAAAATACCACCTTGCTTTCATGTTTTTTTTTCTTCCTATTTCTTTTTATTTATATATACATTTTTGTTGTTTATGTTTAAACTATTTCAAAATTAAAGTAGGACCAAATAATTTTATGGCCTGCTTTTTTCACTTAGTTTTATGAGAATTTCCCAGAGTCAGCATTCTTCCTAATCTTTTTTTTTTTTTGGTCTTTTTGAGACAGGGTCTCCCTGTAGCCCCAGCTGTCCTGGAACTCACTATGTAGACCAGGCTGGCCTTGAACTCACAAAGACACAAAGATCCGCCTGCCCCTGCCTCCCAAGTGCTGGGATTAAAGACGTGCGCCACCACGCCCAGCCCCTAATCATAATTTTATTGTCACTTAATTGAATACAAATTTCATACATATTCCCTAATATTGGATGGTTTGTCAAATCTTTTTGCAGAAGAGCATATACAGCATCTCTCGGAGAGACAGCAGTTGCATTTGACTTTGGGCCATTGGCAGGAATCCCAAAGAATATATATGGACCAAAAGGCAAAGACGAAATAATGGCATACCCACTGTACATCTTATATGAGAATGGGGAGACCTTCCTTACCTATCTTACTCTTTCACACAGGTAAGTTGAGATAGTACCTATGTTGCAGTGTAGATCACTGTAGCTGAATTTGAGATCCAAATTTCTGAGTTTGTGAAGGTAATCAGTCTTTAGATGTTTGGCTTGGATGTTTTGTAGAAATGGTACAAATTATTTGATATTCCATTTCCTTAAGTTATGTAGGTAAGTTTATAATTTAAGACTGAATTTAGGGGCTGGAGAGATGGCTCAGTGGTTAAGAACATTGGCTGTTCTTGCAGAAGACCTGGGTTCGAATCCCAGCACTCACATGGCAGCTAACAACTGTCTATAACTCCAGTTTCAGGGGATCCAACAGCCTCTTCTGTCTTCCGTTGGCATTGTACGACATGGGTGTATTACCTACATGCAGGCAATATACACATACACGTAAAAATAATAAAATATTTTTTTAAAAAACTGAATTTAGCTCTCAAAATCTAGTTAACTGAAAAAGTATTTTTTATTTTATGTAAACAAGGCATCACGGTTATGATTAGATGTAATCTGATGTCTTATAATACCAATTGTGGGGGAAAAGACACGCATTGTACATGAGCATCCAGTCATCCATTCCATAGTACTAGACACATGTTCTAGTTTGCCTTCAATTGCTGTGACGAAACACTCTGACCAATACTAACATGGGGAGGAAAGGGTTTGTTTGGCTTACAAGCACTGTCCATTATCAAGGGAAGCCAAGGCAGGAACTCAGGGCAGGAACCTGGAGCACAGACCATGGAGGATAGCTGCTTAATGGCTTGTTCTCTGGCCTGTGCTCAGCCTGCTTTCTTATATAATACAGAACCACCTGTCCAAGAGTGGCACCACCCACAGTGGGCTGGGCCCTCCCACATCACTCAACAGTCAAGAAAATGCCTCACAGACATGGCCACAGGCCAGTCCAATGAAAGAAATTTCCCCAACTGAGGCTCCCTCAACCCAGGTGTGTCAGGTTGACAACTGAATACACAATACCCAGAGGAAGAAGACATCAGTTTGGTTACAGGACTTAAGGAAGCCTCAAGGAAGGGTGAAGACCATTTTAGGGCAGTCTAGAGTATGCAGTGAGCAAGTAGAGGTACCATCCAAGGTACAGTACTGTGACACTGTGGTCTAGGGCATGAAGTTTATGTATGAAACATTAAATAATAAAGCTAGAATTATCTGCCATAGGAAAATTGGATGGAGTTACAAATCTAGCTAAGGATGGTGGGATCTCTTCTAGAAGAATAGGATAGTAAGAAGCCAGTGATGGTTTCTGGGCAGAAGAACAGATGGTTAGGGAAGGCGTTGGGGCAGCATATGTCTCTAAACCCCCAGCACTGGGGTTACAAACACATGCCACTGTGCCAGGTTTTTACATGCATGCTGGGGATCTGAACTCAGGTCATTAGGCTTACATGGTAAATACTTTATCTACTGAGCCATCTCCTTAACCCAGAAACCAATTTAAGAGACAAAAAGTAGAAAAATACTTTAGAAAGATGTGTTGGGAGAGGTGAACTACAAGAAAAGAAATTGTTAACAAATGTTAAGAATGTCAAACAAAAATTGTTAACCAGCAGAAGATGAAGTTAAGCCTTTTGTATTTGGCAACCGGAATCATATGGTTAACCTTTGCTAGAGCATCAGTGGAGTGACACAGGTGCAAGCTAGGCATGGTGGTACGTTCCTGTAACTCCTACACTGTGTAGAGAGACCTTGTCTTTTTGAGGGTTGAGGGTGGGGAAGGTTGACTGTTACTGGGAGTAGAACTGCAGATCTTTTATTTATTTATTTATTTATTTACTTATTTATTTATTTATTTATTTTTTGAAGCAGGGTCTCCCTGTGGCCCCAGCTGTCCTGGAACTCACTATGTAGACCAGGCTGGCTTTGAACTCACTGAGATCCGCCTGCCTTTGCCTCCCAAGTGCTGGGACCATAGGCATGCGCCACCACGCCCGGCAATCTTTTATTTTTACACTGTCTTACTATATAATGTGGCTGGCCTAGAACCTACTATGTAAACTAACTAGGCTGACCTCAACACAGAGACCCTCCTGCTTCTGCCTCCCTAGTGCTAAGATTAAAGGTGTGTTCTACCTTGCCAGGCAGAATCTCAGAACATGCTAGGCAAGTACCACTAAGCTATATCCCCAGGTCCCCTCCCCCTGCCTTTTTTTATTTTTTCATTTGAAGCAAGGTCTTAAGCAGCCAAGGCTACCTCAGATTCTCTCTGTAGCCAAGGATGACCTAGTACTCATGATCCTCTTGCCTCTACGTCCTGGGTGCTGGGAGTATAGGCATGCACTACCATGCTCAGTTCATGCAGTGCTGAGGACCCAGCACCTAGGCTAGCACTATACCCATTGAATATAGCCCTAAATCCAGTGAGACTCTCGAAGGAAGGAAGGGAGGGAGGGAGGGAGGGAGGGACAGCCGGTACAGAGGAAGTTCCAGGCCAGCCAGGACTACATAGTAAAACCTGTCTCCAAAGACCAAAATAAAATTTAAAAACGGAAGAGGAAAGGAAGGGAAAAAGGGAAGGGAAGGGAAGGGGAGAGGTAGGGAGGGGAGGGGAGGGGAGGGAAAGGAAAAGGGAAAGAAACATACACACAATGAATTTATTTTTTAAAATCACTGGAAAAAAAACCCGTATACCATCAGAAGTTTAGTGCAGGACATTGAATCTCTGCACTATTGACATTTTGTTTCACATAATTCTTTGTTGTGGAGGAATGCTTAGTACCTTGTAATATGACCCAGTAGATGCCAGTCATACTCCCTACACACACACACACACACACACACACACACACACACACACAGTTTTGACAGTTTACTCTGTCTTTGCCAGGCATGATGGTACACCCATGGAATCCTAGCACTCAGAAGGCTACAGTAGCTGGATCAGCAGTTAAAGGCCAGCCTTGGCTATATAATGAGTTCAAGACCAACCTGGACTACACAGGACTTTGTCTTGAAAAATAAAAATAAATAAAAAATTCAACAAAAAATATTTTCAGGTATTGCTACAATCTCTTCAAAACAATATCTTCTCCGATTGAAAATCACCAGTGTCGGAATGTGAGTGGGAAAGCAAGAATGGAGACACTGGCAATACTGTATTTTAAATGAAATTATAGTAGCTGAAGGAAGATAAAAAATTTTTTTTTAATTATTTTAGTGAATAGGCCTGTTTATCCTGTCAACATTTTCCTAATATATTTTCATTTTTTCTTAGCCCTGGAAATATTGGAAAGCTGTTGGGTCCATTGCCTATGCATCCCGCAGCTGAAGATAACTATGGTTATGATGCCTGTGCTATACTCTGTTTACCCTGTGTTCCCAACATCTTAGTGATTGCAACAGAATCAGGAATGCTGTATCACTGTGTTGTACTAGAGGGGGAAGAAGAAGATGAACAGACAGTAAGTGACAGGCTAGTGTTGTTACATTTCATATCTTTAATATCAAATATTATTTCTTGGCCCAATTTGAATGCTTAACATGAGGAATTCTAGCTTATGCATAGTACTTGATATTTTAGAAATTATGCATTTAAGAGTAATTGAAGCACACTTTTAAGTCTGAATGGAAAGCAGTTAGATGATTGCCCATCTTACTTGGTCTACTAAAGTGTACTTCTTTGTGAACTCTCAAAGATTTTCATACCCTGTGTCACTGAGTTGAATCTTCAAAGCAGAAGATGGCACAGACTATATCTATTTATTTTATTCTTTGACTTTTGAGAAGGTTTCATTATGTAGCTGAGGCTGGCCTTGAACTTGCTATGTAGGACAGGCTGATCTCTAACTTAAGATCATTGTGCTTTAGCTTCCTCCATTACTGCTGACATTACAAGAATGCACAGCTCCATGCCCAGTTTCCTACCTATTTATTAACACTGCCATTCATGGTCTTTCTGACCTCTGTATTGTAGGCCTTAGTAACAAATGTAAAGAACCTGTGAATAATTGGACTGGCTTTTCTCCAGGATTACCCCATCCCCCTTCTCTCTTTTAAGGATGACAGTGTACTGTAGGAGCCCTATAGAATTAAAAATTTGAAAGTGCTATCTGACCCAGCCTTTTTGCTTCTGTGTTTAATTGTGTACATTTTCAAATCAGTGTGAGGTCAAAATTACAGTACTTTTTAATTTCTGTTTGTTTCTAGCAGTTGGAAAAGTCCTGGGATTCCAGAGTTGACCTCATTCCTTCTCTGTATGTGTTTGAATGTGTTGAGCTGGAGCTTGCCCTGAAACTGGCATCTGGAGAGGATGATCCCTTTGGTTCTGACTTTTCTTGTCCAATTAAACTTCATAGAGGTAAGGTATTCACCTAAATTTTTTTTTTATCCCATTCTCTTTATCCTAATACTAACAATGATTGCCATGTGATTTATTTGCTATGTGCTTCCAGCTTTAAAAGAATTGACTGGATTCTTTTGGCCTTTCAGTCATTACACAGTACACTTTTCCAAGGCAAACTAAGCAACATACTCAAGTTTTTTGTTGTTGTTTTTTTTTCTTAAAATTCTTTTTATTTTATATGTATGCATGTATTGCCTGCATGTAGGTAAGTGCACTTGTGTCATGCAGTGCCTGTGGAGGTCAGAAGAGGCTGTCGGATCCCCTGGGACTGGAGTTACCAGACAGTTGTTAGCTGCCGTGTGGGTACTGAGATTCGAACCCGGGTCCTCTGCAAGAACAACCAGTGTTCTTAACTGCTGAGCCATCTCTCCAGACCCCAAAGTACTCAAGTTTTAGCATATTGATCTTCATTATGGCTCCACCCACATATTTAATTTTATCTATAAATTATTAGTGTGTACGTACATGTGTGAGTGTGTACAACACATCAGTAGTGTAGACATCAGAGGACAACTTTCTGGAGTTGGTTTTCTCTTTCCACTTTGTCAGTGGAAAAGGGATGCACTTAAGGTGATCAGGCTTGTGATAAAGGTGCTTTACCTGGTGAGCTCCACCCAGGTATTCAGTGATGACCTTTTCCTGGTCTTAACAAAAGTAGATTGTATAGTGTTGCATGCCTATAATCTCAACACTCAGAAGACTGAGGCAGGAGGTTCAGGGCCATCTTGGGCTATATAGTGAGTTCACAGCAGTATTTTTTATATAATAAGATTGCAAAGAGATCTCATTGGTTATGTGTAATAAAAGTGTTTAAAGGGCTAGAGAGATGGCTCAGCAGTTAAGAGCACTGGCTGCTCTTGCAGGGATCTAGGTTCTGTTACCAGCACGCACATGCCAGCTAACAACATCTGTGTGCCTTGCATGACATAGGTGTACTACATGCATGCAGGCAAGACACTCATACACATAAAATAAAACTAAATAAAAAAATTTAAGTATAAGAACTTGATAGATGAAGACCAGGGCTAGTGAGGTCAAGTATTATAAATTATTTGGTTTCCTTATAAAGATGTTAGGTTTTTGGACATCTTAAGTGCAAGCATTTTTTTCCTTGGTTCATTTTTTTCACATGAAAACAGATTTCTGATTTGTTCATATTAGTGCTTAAGCCATAATACAGTAACTGAAATACACTTAATACACTTGCATTTTTATTCAGAGTAAAACGGCTACCAACTGATTCATGTATGTGTGTGTGGTGTCTGGTAAATTTTTAGTTGTCTAATGGCCTCCTTTGTGTCTTTAATGATTCCATTACAGATCCCAAGTGCCCTTCAAGATACCACTGTACTCATGAAGCTGGTGTACACAGTGTTGGGCTAACTTGGATTCATAAACTTAACAAGTTTCTTGGATCGGGTGAGTTTCTTTCTCTGTTTTCAGTAGGTTTCAGTGATGCTGCCAAAATGTCGTTTGGAGAAGAAACAATAGAGAAAGTGGATAAAACCAAAAGTTCTTTGGAAAGGTCATCAGAGCTGATAAACCTTTAGCTAGAAAGACCAAAAACTAAAAGACTAAAATGACTGCAGTGGAACAAAATGGAGATCGCTGTTGGGCTTAGAGAGATTTAAAAGTTATAAGGGAATATGAGAACTAATTGGATGACCTAGATGAAATGGGCGGACTTCAAGAAAGACACAAAAACTGTGAAAACTGACTCAAACGGGGTGGGGAGGTCAATACCTTGTTTTTAAAGTAGATTACACTAGAAAAGGTATGGGGTGGCGGGGTTAAGCTACCCCCCAAAAATAAGAAAGAGCAGGTAACTTAACATTTAAAAAATTAATACCACTAGTTCTTCATGAGCTTCCCCCCCCAAAAGAAAACAAGGGGGACCACTTCTTATAGATATGTCCTTCAAACGTAGACACAAAAAATTCAAGTGGGATTTATTATAGGTTCACGTTAGCATCTAAAAATCTTAACTATAGCTATATTAATAGAATACAAGTGAAAATCCATGATCATCTCAGCACAAAAAGCATTTAAGAAAACTCAACAGCCTTTCATATTTAAAAACGTAGAGCTGGGGATCACTTGCCTAGCATGTACTATACACACTGATTCTGATCCCCAATGCTACATAAAACAAAAACTAATCAAACTAGCCTTAGAAAGAAATTTTTTCAAATAGAGGGCACCTTATAAAACCCCCACAAATAACACCATGCTTAATGATGAAAGACTTAATGTGGGTTTTGTATACTATTTTTAATTTTTTGAGGATTTCATTCATGCATACAATGTATTTTAATCATGTTCATCCCCCACTTCTTCCCCTAACCCCTTCCATATTTATTCCTGAACCCCCCTCAACCTCTCACCAAACTTAATGTCCTTTTTTTTTTTTTTAAAATAACCCTCTGAGTTCAAATTATGCTTCCTGTATTCTCATGGGTGTGGGGCTATCCACTGGATCATGGTCATTTGCTAGGGGCCATACTTATAAAAACAGACTATCCTCCACCAGCATCCATCAACTATCAGTAGCTCCTCAGCTTAGGGTGGGACCTTGTGAGCGCCTTCTTGGAATGCTTTCCGTATTGGCTTTTGCTGCTGGTATAATTCATCACAAACTTAGTGGTTTGAGACATCACAAATTTCTTATCTTAATAGTTCTGTCAGAATGCCTGTAAGTCTTACTAGTTGCAGTTGGAGAGCAGTTTTTCTTCCTGGAGACTAGAGAATCTGATTCCTGTCCTTTTCTGTCTTCTACCATATTTGTTGACTTAGAGCCCTCTTCCATTTTTCAGGGTCAGCAATGATAAGAGGATAGGTTGTATTATTTTCACACTGGATCAGTTGGTTTCCCTTTTTTAGGGGGTGAGGAGGGATCTAAATAGAGTCTGTTACTCAGGCTGGCCTAAACTCTGTGTGTGTGTGTTGCCTGAAGAGGCCAGAACAAGGCATCAGATCCCCTGGAACTTGAGTTATAAATGGTTGTGGGTCATCATGAGTACTGGGAACCCAAACTTGGTCCTCTACACGAGCAGCATGTCCTGTTAACTGTGACCCATGTCATTAGCCCCCATATTTCACTTAAAAAAAAAATTTTAATATGTATGACTGTATCGTCTGCATGTGTGTAAGTGTACCCGTGTCCTGCAGTGCCCACAGAGATCAGAAGAAGGCATCAGATTTCCCTGGAACTGGAGTTATGGATGACTGTTAGCCTCCATGTGGGTGCTGGGAATCTAACCTGGGCCCTCTGTAAGAGTAGTCAGTGCTCTTAACCACTGAGCCATCTCTCTAGCCCCCCCCCCATATTTCACTTTTAAATAAATTTGTGATACATTATGATAGATTGGAGTAATCTTTAATATCATTATCTTAAAGTCATCTAATGAGCAACTTCAATTCCATTTGTAGCTATTCTTCCCTTTTACCAGGTAGGCTAACATTTTTACAGTTTCTAGAGATTGGAATTATGGCCATCTTTGGAAATTTCATCATTCTTCCTACTATAGTTTATCCCTTCACCCCCAAAGAGTCACATGACTCAGTGCAAAATACTTCCTCCTCACCTCAACATTCCTAAAATTCTTAACTCATAGCATCACAAGTTCAGCATCTCATTTTCATGAGCTCAGAAATCCTAAAACTCATCCTCCAAATCAAGTATGACTGAAACCCTGAGACAGATTTTTTTTCTCTATTTGTGAACCTATGAAATTAGGAAGCAAGACATCTTTCCCAGAGCACAAAGGGGGAACAGATCATCACAAGCATCTATATCCCTTTGACATTGTGTCATAACAGTGCCACCTGTAGAATTCACTTTTGAGAACATCGAAATTGAGTACAAAAAAGCAAACAAAAATGTTTTAAATAAGTTTATGATTTTATGTTAGACCACATGCTTAGCTATTCTTAGCCATATGTGGCTTGTGGGCCTTGGATTAGACATATCTGAAGAGAAGAAGGAAAATTATACAATTCTTAGAGCAAAATAGGTATTAAGTTTTTGTGACCTTGGATTAGGAAGTCTTTTTTAAAAAATGTGTGAGTGTATTACCTGAGTATGTAAGTGCACCCATGTCATTCAATGCCCATGGAAGTCAGAAAAGTACATTGGACCCCAGGAACTGAACAGTTGTTGCTCACCATGGGGTGCTGGGAACTGAACCCAGGTCCTCTGCAAGAGCAGCCAGTGCTCTTAACTGCTGAGACATCTCTCCAGCCCCTAGGCAGTCTTTTTTTTTTTTTTTGATATGACATTAAAACTACAATAGGGGAGAGAGAAAAAAATGGATAAAAGTTTCCTTCATCAAGGACACTCATCACAAAAGTAGAAACAACTTGCAGAATGAGAGGAAGTATTTGCAAATCATATATTTGGTAATAGATTTATATCAAGAGCATATAAAGAACTCTTCTAGTCAGATATAGTGGCTTGTGATTGTAAGCCCAGCACTCTGGAGACAGAGGTAGGGGGATTGCTGCAAATTCAAGGCCAACCAAGGCTACGTGGTTGATCTATCTCAGTAAGCCAAAAGAAGGGGGGGGGCTCATAAGAACTCAGTAGTACAAAGATAAGTAGCTCAAATAAAAAATGAGCAAAAAATTTGCATGTGTGTTGATTATGCACAAATAGCACATAACAGATTCTTGTTTTTTGAGACAAGGTATTATGTAGCATAGGCTGCTGTAACTCATTATGTAGCTGTCTAGTCTTGAACTCCTGATCCTCTTGCCTCCACCTTCTAAGTGTTGGGTTTTACGAGTATACCAGCACATTTGGCTCGCTCTTTTTTTTCTGGAGACAAGGTCTCACCATTATGTTTCTTAAGCTGGCCTCAGATTCACACTTCTCCTACCTCAGTCTCTTGAAACACTCAGAATACAGATGTACAGCACATGCTCAGCTTACAAAGAGTCTCAACATCATTAATCATTATAGAAATGAGATTCTACAAAATTACATATTGTTTTATACCTATTGGGATGGCTGAAGTGAAAAACTATAGATAGCATGGGGAATGGGAAAGAATAGAGCGCCTTATACACTGCTTATGGGAATATAAAATGTCTGACGTTTTGAAAAACAGTTTGAAAGGGCTGGGAAGAGGGCTCTCTGAGTAAAGTTCATAGAATTACTTTATATCTAGCAGTTACCCTAGGTATGTAACCCATAGAGAAATGAAAATTTGTCCACACAGTGCTCACACAACATAATTCATAGTAGCCCAAAAGCTAAAGAACAATATTTATCAACTAATGAATGAATAAAAAATGGTATATCTATCCGTAGAAAGGAATTTAGCTGTGAGAAATGAAAACATGCTGAAGGAAAGACACTAGTTATGAACAACTACTTTTGTGTGATTTCATTTCTCTGAAATGTCCAGAGCAGACAAATCTGTAGACAGAAAGGATTGGTGAGCTGGCCATGGTGACGCACACCTTTGGTCCCAGCACTTAGGAGGCAGAGGTGGGCAGATCTCTCTAAGTTCAAGTCCAGCCTAGTCTATGTAGCGAGTATACTGCAAGTGCAGCTAGGGCTGCAGGGAGACCCTGACTCAAAAAGACAAAGAAAGAAGAAAGAGAGAGAGAAAAGGAGGGAGGGAAGTAGTTGTCTGGGTCTGTGAAGGCCAAGGGAAACTAGAGCATGGTCGTTAATGGCAGTACAGCTATTTACTGAAAAATGTGGGTTGAGATGTCTCCATTGGTAAAGTGCTTATACGAAGACCTAAGTTCTCCCAACACCCACGTTTAAAAGAAAACAAAAAAAAACAGAGCAGTACACATAGAGTAATGTCAGCACTAGAGAGTATAGACAGGATTCCTAGGGCTTGCTGACCAGCAAATGTAGCAGAATTGATGAGCTCCAGGTTCAGTGAGAGATGAATTGATGAGCTCTGGGTTCCTGTCTCAAAAATTAGGGTAAATAGTGATTGAGGAAGGCACCCAATGTCAGCCTCTGGCTTCTATATACATGTACACACAAAAATACTGAATTGTATACTTTATAATGGAAGAATCATGTGGGATTACCTTTCTGAAGGCTGTTTTTTTGTTTGTTTGTTTTGAGTTTTTTTTTTTTTTTTTTTTTTTTTGAGGCAGGGTCTCCCTGTGGCCCCAGCTGTCCTGGAACTTACTGTGTAGACCAGGCTGACCTTGAACTCACTGAGATCCGCCTGCCTCTGCCTCCCGAGTGCTGGGATTAAAGGTGTGCGCCACCATGCCTGGCTCCAGGCTGTTTGTTTTTTTTAACAGTAAAAGAAAAAAATGGCAGGGAATGATTTGGGAATTGTTCTCATTGAAATATTTCTGCCATTTAGAAACCTGACCAAGGAAAGCCCTACTTTCCTTGGGTCAGAAATCTAGACAACTACAGTAGGGTATTACTGTTTCAGAAGGGCACCATCTTTGAGAAGCAGTGACTTGAGACAAGACCTAATTGCAGTTTACCATTATTAGCATTTAAAATATTTTATAGATATTTTTATGTGTATGAATGTATTGCCTTCATGTATGTAAGTGCACCATGTTGTTTAATGCCTGTGGAGGTCAGAAGAGGGCATTAGATCACCTGGAACTGGAGTTACAGAAGGTTGTTAGCCATCATGGGGAGCTGGGAACTGAAGCCCCGTCCTCTGCAAGAAGAGTCATTGCTCTTAACCACTGAGCCATCTCTCCAGCTGCCCCTCCCCACTTTTCAAAGCATTTTATTATTTTTTAAAATACCAGCATTTTAATTTGGAGATTTGTCTTAAGTACAAGTTAACTTATACATTCTTTTGTAGATGAAGAAGATAAAGATAGTTTGCAAGAACTTGCTGCAGAACAAAAATGCTTTGTAGAGCACATCCTTTGTACAAAGCCATTGCCATGCAGGTAAGGACTTTCCCTCCCTTGTGTACCCTGACCAATTGTTCCAGTGATTCCAACAGACATACATCACATGTGATGACTCTGCGAATATCGTGTATAGCAGATATTCATCAGAAGCTTTCTTCTGTTTCAGGGCCACTCCACAGCTTCCTGGTTCCCAACTCCAGCTTGCCATCTTCTCTTGGCTAGTTTTTATTTTCTGATCTTAATGTTATTTTTTTAGAGACAGCTCCTTCAGTTCCACAATCTAACTTGGAGTTTTCCTGTTCTTTTTCTTTGTAGCACATTTTGCAGCTGACACATATGTCTCATATAGGCAGAGTCTGCTTTTTCTTATTGTACTCTACCGCATGCGTGTTTACTCAGTGTATAAACGCCTAATATTCAGTAAATATTTCACAAATAGAATAAAGGAGGAACCTAGAATGGCTCCCAGGTTTCTGGGAGTACATGTAGCACCCTTTAGAAAAGTCAGGATATAGGAGAAAGCAGATTCAAAAAGAGGATGGTAAGAGGGGCCTAATAGGTAATTGTGTGTATAGGTCTGCAGTTTGGAGTAGTCTGGAATAGCGTAGGAATGTCAGCATTGCAGCTGTGATTCTGATTAAGAGTTACCCAAGAAAAGGCCTGAAGTCAGTAGAAGAAACCCAAAAAGAGAAGTAAAACTTACTTGTGAGCAGTGAGTGGAGGCAGAGGAGCCCAGCTGAGGAAGGAACTTGAGGCAAGGGTTGTCAGAGTGAAGGAGTACCTGGAGGAGAAGGTGAGATGGATGCCAAGGAGGAACTGCTGCAAGAGGCGGCAGTGGCCAGCAGCATCATAAGCAATGCCAAGCAGTGGAGTCCAGATTTGACAGTATATGTGTGGAGTTAAGGAAGGACAGCAAACAGTACCAGGTTGGAAAGTAAGCAGGAAAATACATGAATTTCAAAAGCAGGTAAAATTAAAGGCTTGCTTAAGAATATATATATAGCCGAATGTGGTGGCACATCCTTTAATCCCAGAACTTGGGAGGCCAAAGGCATGTGGGTAAGATCAAGGCCAGTCTACTCTACATAGTGAGTTCCAGCCTAGCTGGGGCTACAGGAAGACCCTATCCAAAACAAAACAGAATGAACATATACAAAACAAAATCATGGCAATGTGCAAATGAGGCCAGTGGTTACTTTATGAAGAGGGAAAGTGGTGACCCAGGGGAATGTATAGGGTTCTAAGGCTGCTGCCACCTTTTTTTTTTTTTTTCCCTAGAAGGTGCTAGAGATCAACCCAGGGCTTTGTGCAAGCTAGACAAGCACTCTAGCACTGAACTATATCCCCATCTTGCTTTCTGTTAGCCTGATACCAGTTGTCTGGTACATTTGCACACCTTCTCTATGAGGCATTCAGTGACTTCTGATACATATATGCAACCATATAACCATAACAGACATCAAGATAGAAAACGTCAAGAGATGGCTCAGTGGTTAAGAGCACTTGGGGCTCTTGCAGAGGACCTAAGTTCAGTTTCCCATGTGAGGTGGCTCACAACTCCCTGTGACTCTTCCAGTTGCAGGGGATCCGACTCTTCTGGCTTCTGTAGGCACAAACACAAGTAAAAACAATCTTTTTAATTAAATTGCGTGTGGCGGGGGGTATGTGTATAATGTATAATAGATACGGGTTGGGAAAGATGGCTCAGTAGTGCAGAATGCCTGGTGCTTTTGCAGAGGACCTGGATTCAGCTGCCAGCACCTTCATCAGGCAGCTCACAACTGCTTATAACTTTAGTTCAGGGGGATCCAACACTATCTTCTGGCCTCTGCATGTACCAGGTATGCCTGTCATGGATATGCATATATGTAGGCACTCACACATACACATAAGTTTTTTTTAAACATACAAAACATTTCTAGGGACTGGGAACCAAAAAAATTACAACAAAAAAAGCCTTACCCAGCTCTTGCCCCCTCTCCCCAAATTCTCCAAGGTAAATTTTAAGTGTGCCTGTGTGCCTGTGTTATGTGTGTGTATATTTGGACATGTTAGTGCAATGCCTGTTGAAGCCAGAAGAGGACATCAGATCTAGAACTGGAGTTACAGGCACTTGTGAGCTACCTAACGTGGGTGCCAGGAATTGAACTCTAGTCCTCTCTGCAAGAACAGTGCATACTCTTAACTGCTGAGCCATCTCTCCAGCCCCAGTTGACTACTATCTTAAGAAAAAGAAAACATGGAATAGGGATTATGGTTTAGTGGGTAAGAACACTTGCTGTATGTACAAGCACGAGGACCCAAGTTCAAATCCCTAGAACCCACTTAAAAAGCTGGATGTGGTCACACTCTTGTAACCACAGTGCAGTTGTGGGGATGGAGACAGGAGGACACTGGGCTTGGCTGGCCACCATCTAGTTCCAGGGCCAGTGAGATACCCTGTCTCAAGGGATTAAAATGAAGTTGTGCGCACACACACACACGATGGGGGATGGGAGGTTTGCTGTTTTAAAATATAGAAAGAATAGGTTAAGCAGAGCCATCAGTGGGGCACAATGAAACACCCCATGGACCTGCAATGAGCATGTATGTGTGTATTGCCTGCATGTATGTGAGTATACCTGTATCATGCAGTGTCCACAGAGGTCAGAAGAGAGTGTCAGATTCCTTTGGAAAGGAGTGGTTGTTAGCTGCCATGTGGGTGCTGTGAATCAAACCCAGGTCCTCTCGAAGAGCAGCCAGTGCTCCTAACCACTGAACCATCTCTCCAGCCCAGCAATTGGCAATGTGTTGAATGGAAAAAACACGAGCTTGTCTATAAGCCAAGAGAAGATACATAATAGGGACATTTTAAAACTACACAGTTGATATAGCACAATCTTTGGATATGACAGGAGGTAGCATTGACATTTAGGGGTGAAGTATGATGTGGACACGGGTAGAATGAACATGGAGACCAGTAGTGGAGCATGTTGTAGTAACAACAGTTCCTATATATGAAGGCCATGGTTTCTTCCATTTTCTCCAGTGAAGGAAAATGGGAAGGAAATAATGCTGTGCACACTAAATGACGTCCTGTGACTTATGGGGTTCATTGGCTGTGTAATATAAAATAGATTCTAATGCTCCATTCATTTAGTTTGTAGGTACCGATCTAGGTTCAAGATAGCTGAGCCTCATGTGTTAGTGCGGAGAAAGACATACAAAGTGAACTTGAATGTAACTGCTGAGAACATAATGTGCCCTATGAATTCCTGAGTGATTTAGTAAATGGCCTATTTGCTAAGTGGGGCTTGATTTAAACCGATCAAGGTATATTGTTTATAAGTTGCCATGTTTGTGGTGGTTACTACAATGTTGGATAGGATCTCACAGGCCCCAAAGGCCATGAACCCTCAGTTATGTTGTTACTGTTGGTTAACTGTGATTGTGTATCTTTCCAGGCAGCCAGCTCCAATTCGAGGATTCTGGATTGTCCCAGACATATTGGGACCCACAATGATCTGCATCACCAGTACCTATGAATGCCTCGTAAGGCCTTTATTGTATGTCCCACTTTGTATTTTCTATACAACTGTTTAATTCTGCAAAGGTTTGAAGCTCCTCAGATGTGGTGTATGCTTTGGTGTCTGCCTTGGTTGGAAGGATGCTTGTTTTCTGTGCCGCCTTTTAAAGGTTTCATTTTAGACATGGTTGGTTTTTGTTGTTTTTCTACCATCTCATTTGAGAATCAGAACTTTTCTTTTTTTGTGGTAGAGTCTCACTTTATGTTCTGGGCTGGCCTAGAACTCTTCCCTCAACCTTCCCTGAGCTGGGATTACGAGCATGAGTCAACGCACCTAGTGCTTTTCTTGAAAGTACAGAAAGGAAACTAAAATGTTCAACTCCATTATTATTGTGAATAGATTAATAATTGGCATGTACTAGTCTGAGATGTAAGGTATTTTCCTGCATTCCCTTCCAGAATTATCAGAGCAGCCCCTAAGGAATACAGTTAGCTCCATGTAATAGAAGGAGGCAAGGCCCACAGAGCCACACACATGCTGAAGTCAGACAGCTGTGGTGCAGTGGAAGGGCTGACTGATCCCCTCTCTGCCAGCTTCAGAGTATCAAACTCTTGGAAAAGAGGTTATAAAGCCGAGCTCATATATTAAGTTGCAACCACTGTTTTCCTTTTCCACAGCCATGGAAGGTCAAGTTTATAAATGCAGGAATAGACATAAGAAAACTAACTAGGGTGTCAAACATGAGGCTAACCGACACCCCTCCTCCCTGCTTCCTGGAGCACATGCTTCTATGACTGACAAAAGTGTGAAATACTGGCATTCAGTTACCATCTTTAGAAGGTCTCACATGCTCTTTAAAGACTGACAGGTTGGGGCCAGAGTGATGGCTTAGTGGTTAAGAGCACTAGCTGTTCTTCCAGAGGACCTGGGTTCAATCCCCAGCGGCCATATGATGGCTAATTATCGCCCATAACCCCAGTTCAAGGGGAATCCAACACGCTCCTCTCACCTCTGCAGGCATTGCACAACATAGGTGCACTTGCATACATGCAGGCAATACACTCATAAAATAAAATTTTAAAAAATACTAAAAAAAAGTCTGACAAGGTATTCTACTTGGAAAGGAAAAAAGTATATATTTTATGTTGCTTACAGAAGAAGACACAGATTCTAGCACACTAAACACAGGAAATCATCATTGGAAAAATATTTAGCCAGAGAGGTGGCTCAGCAGGTAAAGGTGCTTGCTGCCAAGCATGACAATTTGAGTTCTATCCCTAGAACCCACCTGGTAGGAGATAACTGATTCCTGCAGTTTGTGCTCTGACCTCACACATGTGCCATGGCATGCTTCTGCACAAATGTGCACACAATATAAATAAAATGCTGGGAAAAAAATTGCCAATGCCTTAGCATTATTATTTTAATACATACTAGCTATTTTCAGTATTCTTAATAAAGCCTGGTCACAGTATTTTGAGAATTAAAAAAAAAAAAAAAATCA